TGCCTTAAGCATGACAGCCAACTGGATGACCTTGGGCCAATCACCAGAAGTCAATTCTAGTACTGCCTTAGGCATGAAAGCCAGACGGATGTCTTTGGGTCAGTCACTCTCTCTCAGCCCAAGTCACCTCTTGGACTTCAAAAAGGCATATTTTAATCAACCCAGATAACAAGGAGAATCGACCGCAGAGAATGCTAATGAGACGAGGAAATCAAGATGGCTACAAGTTCCTAAACAAGAAGAATTCCAATTAGGAAAACAAACAAACAAACAAATGGCTGCAGAAGAAGCTCATCTGAAAAGCTTAGTGAACATCTGAAAATAAAACCCCCAAAAGACACATGCAAGAAATGCAAAAGGGGCCAAATCACAAAAGAGCTGTAGAGAGCCGGAAACTGTAACGTTCATGTTAAGAAAGCAAAAGGTTAGCAAAACAAAAAGAATCAGGATACTAGTTAGTGAAGATGGGAAAATGTTAATGTGTAACAAAGAAGAGACATAGCTACTTATCTTGGTTCAGACTTTTCTGACAAAAAAAAAAAAGTATGTTGCTCCAACCAAGAAGCAAGACTGAAGTTCGAGATTAAGAGAAATCTAATATGGAGTCCCTCTTTACTTTTGAATGAATTTAAATCTCCAGAACTGCATGAACTGCATCCTGGGAACTAGCTGATGGTATGGTTAAACCCTTATGACAATTCACTTTCCCACTGTTGGAGGGCTGAACCAATTAATAGGGCTGTGAAGGTGGTAGGCATATACACATGCACATACATAAGTTGAAAAAAAAAATAGCCGCCACTTTCAAAATAAAAGCAATGCAGTTGTATTGCATGTATGGCATACACCAGGGTGTTTCAACCAGTGGTACAGGTACCACCTGTGGTACATTGGCACCTGGCAGGTGGTACGCGACCATCCTAAAAAAGTGGTAGTGGGGGAGGGGAATGAGCTGAACCGGTGGTAGCATCGCACAAGCCTGAGCGAGAGATGGCTGGAGCTGCAGGGCTGTCAGGGCTCAGTGGAAGTGCCAGGATCAGAGCCAGTCTCCAGCTGGAGCTCGGCACTGATCCTGGTGCTTCTGCTAAGCCCTGAAGAAGCACCAATCAGCTGGAAAGCCGCACTGATCCTGACGCTTCTGCTGAGCCCAGAAGAAGTGCCGATCAGCTGGAATGTTGCAGCATCTCCAGGGTTTTGTGATTTACATTCAGATGCTTGGCAACTGATTCATATTTATGACGGTCACAGTGTCCCAGGGTCATGTGAAGTGACCAAAACCTGCTGCAACCACCCAGCAGACTGGGGGAATAAAAACCAAACACCCCCACCCCACCCCCGCTGCCAATCCTCAACAAAAATGCTCACAACAATGAAAACCTCAGACTGGAGGAAGAGCGCCGCCGGGTGGGCAGGCAGGTGTCTTGCTTGGCTGTGGCTTGGGGGGCACTTTTTTCAGTGCCATTGTAACTTTGAACAGTCACTAAGCGAACTGTTGTAAGTCAAGGACTACCTGTACTTTATCACTTTTTTCCTTTTTTGGGGGGGGTCATCAAGTTTTTGACATCTTGCTAGGCGACTGGTGGTATTCGGATGTTGCCATATTCTAAAAGTGGTACAATGGCATAGACTTATTTACATTAAATTCCTAATTTCTAATTCACCTCACAAGGGTCAGACAGGGACAGGCAAAGGGCCAGATATGGCCTAAGGGCCGTAAATTGCCCAGGATTGCCTTATGGTGAAGTGCAAAACAGATCCTATTTACAAATGGAAGAAAAAGGAAGGTTCAGCAAACTATAAGCCAATTTCTTTGACTTTGATTCTTAGAAAGATTCTAGAGCATATGTCACACTGATTGATCTCCAAGTATAATAGAAACGATACAACAAATTCTGGCTACAGCAGAGATTTATCTAAAACAATTCTTGTCAGATTACATTTACCTCATTTTTCACTTTTATAACAGATTGTTTGATTGTGATAGACATGAAGTACCTTGACTTCACCTATCATATTCATTGCTGGATGAAAAAACGAGCATGCTAGTATTTATTTACATACTTATTTGAAAGAAGAGAGGATCCACGGAAGAAGAGTGGATGAAAGGTTTATGCCGGCTTTCAGGATTTCACAAGATTAGGTGTGCTCTTATTGATTCAAGGCCAACATTAAACTTTGTGCATTCCATTGAAGATGCCTTCTGCGGTTTTTTTTGGTCTTAAAGTTCCCCAAATCCCCACTAAGCTCAATTTTTTAGTTCTACTTTAGAGAAGGGTAGGACTTTGAGAACAGCAGAAAGGAGGCAATACTCCCCCTCACCTATAATTATATTCTGTTCTGGATGGGAAAGGAAAAAGGAAGGAAATGTATGTAGATCTAATAGCTTATGATCTTAAAAACTGCAAAATAATAGTGAACGGGCGTTAATGTGATCATTCTTTATCTCAAGTCAAATAGTTTTTAAAAGTATATTCTGAGTGATCATTTTCAGGAGACGTATTAAGTTGCAAAATCAAATGATTAATTTTTTTCTCTAACTCCAATACAATACAAATTTCATATATGCATTCTTGTTTGTCGTTTAATACAAGTACAGATGGATATACAACCCAGCAGGCTTTAAAATAACTTCTCTATCATTGATGAATTGTCTCTATTTTAAATACTAATACTTTCTATTCAGAATACATGCCTGACAATTCTCTAAATTCCAGGTGATTACAAATAGTTTTGTCTGACAAACCTTTGATCTTGGCATTTTGCCAGGTTCTTCAGGCAACTGAATCAGCAGCTATTTTGCATTAATCAAAAGGTGTATCAAGAAATTTCAACTTTATGTAACAATACTTTTTTTAAAACCAAGCACTGCAAAGTCATTGTGAAAAGGACAAAGAAATAACTTCCAATTACAGTATATACATGTTAAGTTTCAAACCTGAGTTTATCATATCTATTTTAATCCTATAATTGCACTGAATTTGCACAAGGCAAAAAGCCTTAAAGAAACTAAATACAAATAGTCCTTACTTACTGACAAATCGTTCAGCAATCATTCAAAAAAATGGAGAAAGGGAAATCATTTGGCACTAGATAGGAAATTTATTGCCGCCCAGAGTCACTTGATTGAGTTGAGTGACTATAGAAATTTAATTAATTAATTAATTAAATATCTTTACCTAGCAGTGAAAAAAATATTGAGTAAGTGGTAAAAGAGAAGATACAAAGAGTCTTTGTGTAAAGAATTATGATCAAGATGGGCAATGAAGAGCTGAAGTTTTGCCTGTGAGGGAGCTGCTTAGTACGTTCCTACATTTTCTCAATTCACAGTGCCCGTAGCATCTCAGAAATTTTTCCATGGCATCTCACAGTACCCAAAAAGCAAATTTACAGAGGCACTGTGGGATATTTTGAATTTTTGAGAGAAGCACGACAATAGTAGGCTAGTAGTTTGTGCTATGTTCAGCAGATGTTGGGTATTGCTATGTTTCCATTAAAAATGTGAAATATCTCACAGTCTAGAATTCATTGTAGCACCATGGCACACAGTTTGGGAACCATGGATCTAAAGGATTTAGCTAGAGATGAATTAAGGTTTGGAATGCCAAGAGGAGGGGAAGTGAAGAGAAGCAAATGAGAGGTGTAGTCCATAAGGAGGAAAGAGTGAGAGAACTGCTAGATGAATCTACATGTCAAGGCAATCACAGTGAGCATATTGGCCTAATTATTGGGGAAAGCTAGATTGTTTAAGGATGTTCTAGGCATCAGAAATGTAATGCATTTTTAAAAGGGATCGTTCAGTCTAATGTATAAGAAGCCAATAGCTAACTAGGTTTCATGGTACAGTGTTATATATGCACAATGGAAAAGTGGGAAAAACTGTGGTGCCTGCACAGCCATCTGGGGATTAGTTGCCAGCTAATGACAAGAGAAAGGGAACCGATCCAGAAAAAACACAAGGAAGAAAGAGGATCTGAGGGAATATGTTACCCACCCTTAGCGCTTCAGGTCTTTGGATTAAAGCATCTTATATATTGTGGCAAGTGACTAACACTTTCCTTTCCTTGTTCCTTCTTGTAGAGTTTTATGTATGCATGTGTTCGCCAAACTTGACACCTGTCCCTTATCATAAATTAAAGATCTTCTTACATATGAATTGCATTGTGTCAGATAATATCACCCAACCAATTAAGAAAATTAACAAAAGCAACAAGGTTTGAAATCAAAGTAGAACTCTTTAAGGCTGTTATTAATCAGAAATATGGCAAACTAATGATTAAATTAGAATAATAGGATGAAAAAAAATTAAAGATTAGGAAAGCCATCAAGACCTGTACATTTTGTTTAATAGAGGTATTTTGAAAAAGAAACAAGCTGGATGAATTGCTTGGCTTATCAACTGTGCAAGGAACAAGACATATCACTTTTATTTGGGATGCAACCAGGCATATTTCCGCAATAATAAAGGATGTGATAGAATAAGCTGTTAAACATTACTCAAGACTATACAGTAATATGAGCTGCAGAAAGCTGGAATGTATTTGAACACAATCTTACTTATGAAACTTATAGACCCGCCTTAGGCATGAATGCTGGCTGGGTGGCTTTGGGCCATTCTCTGCCCAACACACCCCAGAAGGTGGTTGTTGTGGGAAAATAGGAGGAAGATGTATTACATATGTTTGTTCCCGTAATAAAAGTGGGACAAAAATCTTAAATATGAATATAGTCCATGAGCGATCATTGGTATTAAGCAGCATATTAGTATGGAATATATTCAGGAAAGAATTCAGTCCAGACTTATCCTCTCTTGCCTCATTGTTATATTTTCATTTTTATGATGAGGAAAGCCCAAATAAATTTGCTCAGTGGAGAACCCATTGTATAGAATGCAAGACTGATGTCAGTAAAATATGAAATAATCTCTTCAGGATGGCCACAACTATGAAATTGCTTTCAGTACCTTGAACATTTTAAAGCATTATACAAAATTACAATTATACCTAAAGGAAAGATAGGGTGGATTAGATCCAGATAAGAGCATCCGATAAGCTTCTTCTGGTGTTTTCTTCAAGTAAGCTACCTACAAAAAAAAATGAAGATAAAGAAACAATTTAATTTAGAAAATGCAAACGTACTTACAGTTGTGTAATTCATTATATCAATATAAAGTCTGAATAGAAATCAAACATGACATTTTAATTCCTACTATTTATGCTTGAGATTATGTTGATACTTCAGAAAATTGTTTTTATTCCAAGCTTAAAATAGGAACTCTCCAAATCAAGCTTAACTCCTGGTGACTCCCTAGATACAACCAGGAAGTTTATTAGACAATAATACAGGAGTGTTTTGATGCTGGCAGCATAGCTAACAGCCCTGCTGACTCCTTCTCTCCTATTTTTATTGCTTTCCTAAGAAAATAAAACAAAAACATTTTTCTCCATTCTGAATGCAGATAATTGTTTACCTTTTCTTGGGAAAAAATAGGAAGCATTAATCAAATAAATCATTATGCATTGAAACAAATATACCCAAATATAGAAGATATATTTTTAAAAACAGGATTATCAATAAAGATCAACTTGTAGCGATGAAGTAACACATTTTCTAAAAAGCACTCCCCAAATAGTTTTCTTCCTTTTAAAATAACAGAATGATGCTTCCTTGAAAGGGAGCCAGAGTTATACAGCATTATTTGGATTATTTGGACTTTCAAATTGGTTTGCTTCAGTAGCTTAAACCTGTTTAATAATTGTTTTTAAATAGTTCCAATATTTCAATTATTATAGCCTAACTAGTATTTTTGTAATTCTCTTAAACTCCCCCAGCCAATACGTACCTCCAGGAATTGCAATACCGTTTACAAGCATGTTTTATAATTTATTTCAGTTAAAACTCAGTTTTCCTCCTAAAGTTCCTTTCCTTTATGCCTCTTGGCTTGACAGTAAGGGAGGCCCCTTAACACTTTTGTCAATCTTCCTTTATCATGAGTATTATTTATGCCCAATCTTTCAGAATCCCCAATATTTCTTTGGTTTATTTATCCTTTAGATTTTCAGAGCATATTATACAGGTAGTCCTGTAGACTTGCAACAGTTTGTAGTAGTGACTGTTTGAAATTACAATGCCACTAAAAAAAAGTGACTTATGACTATTTTTCACACTCATTGTAGCATCACCATGGTCACATGACCAAAATTGGATGCTTGGCAACTGGCTCATATTTATGATGGTTGCTGTGTCCTAAAGTCATGTGATCGCCTTCTGCAACCTTCTGACAAACAAAGTCAATAGGAAAGCCAGATTCGCATTAACAACCATGCCACTAACTGCACAATTGCAGTGATTCGATAGAATGAGAAAAGGTTATGGAATTTAATGGAATAATTGTTATTTTGTATTTAAATTCTATGTCTATTGTTATGAATTCTTCCTCCCTTTTCTATTTGTGATTTTAATAACAAGTAACTATAACTAATAAGTAATACACCAATATGTTAAAGTTATTATGATTAATTAGTAATATATTAGTGATATTATATTAAGTATAGTTATTTTATATTAATTATTATGATTGAATATGTATACCCAGATGGGTTTACTTGCTGAAGCGTTGACTTATTGTGGGGGATAACCCCATTATTGTACCTATCCCTCCCCCTGGTCTAACCCTTGTTGTTTGTCACCCCTTGTTATACCCCTATTGACCACATTTCCCCTTTATCCTTATAAAATCTAATAAAATATTTATTTAAAACAATTGCAGTGATTCACTTAACAACTGTGGCAAGAAAGGTCATAAAACGGGACAAAACTCACTTAACAACTGTCTCACTTAGCATCAGAAATTTTGGGCTTATTTGTGGTTGTAAGTCAAAGACTACCTGTACTAATATTTTTAATCTGAATTCCCCAGAAGTGGCTTTCTTGAATTCCAAGGAATGTGATTAATATTTCCTCAGCTTTCCCTTTCCTACTTACCATGCCTGCCAACATAATGTAGTTGCCTCCCTCAAAGTGATTGATACCATCAACCCATCAATTAATTCCTATGTTAATTAAGTTTTAATTCAGGATACATGACCTCCTTCCTGAAATTTGTTCTCTGTAAACATGCTGTAGCATGTTTCAGGTATTGGAAACAAATGTATTGATATGCAAGTGTGTTTTGCCTAATACTAACCTACATACTGTATCTAGGGAGACTTTTAGAACCATTTTTAAGAGACTGAAGTAGATGCTGTGGTAATATTTTGCAGATGAAGCAAATTACCATTGCTGATACATTTGGCAAAATCTACAAAGTAAAAATTCATGGATGAAACTAGACTAGGGTACATATAACACTCAGACATGACAAAAGTGTTATGAGCTGGATTTCATACTCTTTAGTAAACTATGTGGATAAGAGCATTGTTCTTCTAACTGTTGGATGGAAACAGGGGAAAAAATTTTATAGCCAAATATATTACAAATAATGACAAACATTAAAATATAAGCTTCAGAAAAAAATTAGAAAGTCACAGTGTGTTCCAGTATAGAATACACAGCTACCCCAGGAAGGTCTATTTGTAGCATTTAATCTAGTATTTACCAAATCTCATTTGACACAATACTTTAGCATTAAGGAGGTACAAGATTGCTAACATAGCTAAAAATAATATATATGCAAAAAAAATCAGAAAACTGTTTACCAAACAGAATGATTATGCAATGCTGCCTGTTTTTAATTCAATTCAAGTTTACTGCTGCAAGTGCATGTATGTTGCAATTCTGTTTTCCTCAAGTAGGAATGTAATATATACTATGATGTAGCTATAACAATCATTCTTGTAAATCAGCCAAAATTATTCCTTGAAAAATGTACAGATCTCACCCAATCTGAGAAGCAGGATTCTGCTTGTTGGTTGGGAATACCTATCCTACTATAATATTATCTTGCATCTACACACTGCTTGCAACATTTAAATTCGGCTACATTTGCTCTACTTGCCAAATAATTAAATGGTATCAAAAACCTGCACCTGATTTGTTTGTTGCCCACATTAGGCTGCAAAATTAGAGATGAGTCTATAATTTTTAAAAAAGTTTATTAGAGTCACTGACCAGTAATTAACCAGTAATGTTTAATTATTCAGCTGCTTAAACAAAAAAATAACAGAGCACAAGAGGCCACAGCATAGGAAGAAAAAAAAAACAGAAATATCTAGAAAGAACAGAAAAATGTCTAAAACATGTTTCAAAAATGTTTCAATAAGAGTGCACACAATAATTTACTATGATGCAGTAAGTGCAAGCATAAAGTGATGAATTAATTAATAAGAATACATTTAAGTGTAGAATATAGATAGTCTTTAGTTTAAGATGGGAATTGGGATTGGATTTGCCATTGTTAACCAATGTGGTTGTAAAGAGCAACATTAGGTGGCCATGCTAGTCCCGGTTGCCATTTTTAAGTGAGATTGTCACGGGATCATGAATTATGACTTCCTGCTGGCTTCCCCATGGACTCTGCTTGTGAGAAGCCAGCAGGATGATTATTGGAAATTGCAAACCTGTGACCACGGATTGTTATGATGCTGTAATTGCAAGCCAGGTGCTGAGCACCCAGATCATGATCACATGATTGCAGGGACATTGGCAGGTCAGAAACTTGGAGGACCAGTCCTAACTACCACTTGTTCAGTGTCACTGCAAATTTAAAAGGTTGCTAAATGAGTGGTGTTTAAACTAAGACCACCTGCAGTGAATGTTTTTTTAATTTTATCTGTTTTTAATCTTCATGTTTGAAAATGATCTCCCTATGATTGAAAGTATGGATTTTGCATAACTCACTGCTTTTTTTCTAAAGAAAAAAAGTTGCTGTTAAGCACAAATTTTCCCTAGATAATCAGGGATACCAAAGTCTGGGCTCTTGCATGCTGTATCAGCTGCCAGAAATGCCCTTCAGATGTTCTTCTACTGTTCACGTGGGTAAACAGAGCTAGTCTTTCAGGACAATTAAACGCTTATTAGACATTTTAAAAATTAGTAGAGAAATAAGTGTGAAAGCATTTTCCCCAGTCATACTGGAGCAGCTCTTTAAAAATCATCATATTCTAGGAAGAGTTTCAAAGATAAACTTCTGTGGAAATTGCAAAATCAGAATCGATTAATTTTTTTTTACTCTGAATAGGAATGTTGATTCTATAGATAGGACATGCTCTTCTTTAATGTTTATTTGGATTATTCATCACCAGCAGTCTCTATGTTGTCAGGAACAAGTCTCAGTTATGCTGACTTATTGTTTGGTTAATTGCCTGGATTCTATATTTGCTTATCCTCTCCACAATACAACATCACGTGTAAAATAACCTCTCCAAAACACCCAATTTGTTCCCCTCCCTGAACAGCAGATACAGATTAAGGCAGAGGACTCTGCACATATTTGTTAAAACAGAGTAGAAGCTTATCCTAAGCTTTTCACTTTTTAGTGTGTCCTTTTATTATATTCAGCATTATTTCAAATTGTATGCTTATAAATGAACAGGGGAAAAATAATATTGATATGGGGTTAAACTGCTTTGTTATTATTGCTCAGAATGTTTAAATTAAAATGCTTAGAATTTTCAGCACACGATTTAAATTAAAAAAGATATACAGGACGCTAGTAAAAATGCACGGTGTTGTGCTACAGTTTGCAGTAGACAAGCAAGATGCTACTCCCAAGATATTACATTTGGCCTTGGCCTAGTTTATCTGAAGTGAAAGGGTTTCGTGTAGGAGGACTAGGAGAAATCTGTACCAGAACCCTTAAATAACCTGGGTGAAGATTACTTGCTAAAGAGGATAGGCGGCTTACTCACACAACACAAGACTAATGACTGAACTATCTAACTGCCTTTTCACCGTTGATCATTTCCAAGGCAAACATAGTTCTATCATACTGTTATTCCTTCCTTTCTTCAACACAAAGATAAAATTAAAGTTCTACTAATTCATAAGCTTGCAATGGTGCTTTGCTGCTTCATAATGAACTCAATTTATTTCAATTAACGACATGATTATCTTAAAAGGAAGATTAAGAACATGAGCTATTTATATGAAAAGTTATTCATAAGTCCATTTCACTTCCCTCAGAGGCATTATAGAGGCATTATTTTATATAGCACATTTATTTTACAGCATAATGAAGTACTAAAAAGAGTACAGAGTAATACTAGATCGTATTTACTACAAATACAAAGCTAAGAGGATATGTACATATTACCTATTTAAATTAACAGTACTGTATATTAATAAAGATGTACGTAAAACATAACACAAAGCCCATAAATCACAAAATACTAGCTTTAAAAAAAAAGTTTGTGGGCGCTCCGGTCCTCAGGTCTCCACTCGGTTTCCGGGAGACTTAGACCCTCCGGCCCGGGACCTTCGGCTGGTGCTATGTAATGCCAGGTCCGTGGTAAATAAGGCCCCCCTCATACAGGATCTTATCCTGGAGGGGGGCGCGGACCTGGCAGGTATTACTGAGACCTGGCTGGGCGTAGAAGGTGGGGTTCCA